GTAATTATGCTGTGTTGAACTTGGGTGAATACCTACGTAGAAACCTTACTTGAACGTTTGAGGAAACTAGGCTGATTATTAAAGTTTTGTCAGGCAGTGGGCCCCTCCCATCACAGATGTTTGGTTGAATTGGGTCCATGAAACCTACAGAGGACTCAATTGCAACTTCTGCTCTGCGTCAGCCAACCTCTGTATACCCAATTACAGCACTGATAAGACCTGCACTTTCCTACTCTGTAATTACACCTCTACAGACTGCACCTACACTTTTACTGTAACCTATCTGACTTCTATAGTTGCGTTACCACCTCTTATTGGATCATAGTCAGACATCTTCAGCACAAAGTATCAACCAGTTCCATCTTCTCAAATCACACAAGCAATTTACACAAAAAGAGATGTGATGTCGCTGTCATGTTGTCCATTTTCTATCAGTCTCAATAGCATCAGAAAATATTCCTAAATACTGTATTGGCCTTGCTACCCTGTCTCCCTTTAAAGGTAAAAACTAATTTTTGCACCTGTTCTCACAAATCACACAAAATATATAAATACAAAAATAAACTTTAAAATGATATACACATATATATATATTTTTTTTTAATTGACAAAGCCTACAGGTATTTCTAGTTCTATTTTACCATCTCAAAGAGAATCAGTATTAACTGGTGGATTAGTATAGTAAACCTCTGGGAAGTAGCTGTGGAGTTAATCCAGATAATCTTTCTCTTTTCCCTCACTCTACTACTACACCACTATTCTCTTCTACAGAGAAAAACTGTTAAATGTATAATGGGGCAATTAATTTAAAAATTGAAATCGCAATATGGCCAACTGCAATATCCAAATTGCAGGAGCTGCAGTTTTTTGATAAAGGTAAAGCATGTCAACACATATTATAAATGAAACATCGGGGTGCTACAGAGATGCCATGGCTTACAAATAATTTTCTCCAGACAGAACCATGCTTGTTTGGTACAGACCTAAATCACATCATCATTTTTATATTTTTTTCCAGTGAAAATGAAATGCAAAAATTGTCATTCCCACTAAAATCATTACTTATATTGCAATATCTGTCAAAATAATTGCAATATGATTTATTGATGATGATTGCATATTGTTCAGCACTAATGTGGAAGGACATATGTCAGGAATATAAAGTTAAATGTAAGATAACCCTGTTTTTTTCAAATGCAGTAGGCATAGGTGTGTGTGTGTTTGTTTTAATTCCAACATACTAATTAACACAACTTTGTGAGATTGCCTGAGAGGTTTTATTAATGAGGTGCTCAAGGGAACGTGGCCGATCTATGCGGCTGTTGATTAATAGGCTGCATGCCATGTGTGCAATAACAGCCCCCCACACACACACGGACAAACACATCCTGCTGTTAAGTCTCAAAGATAGCTCTTTAATCTCTGAACTTTAATCTCTTTATTACACAGAAGTTTGGTCAGATCATATATCCTCAACTTAAAGGCTGCTGATAATTTGGCCATAAATTTACAATACTAGGATTAATTAAATTTATTCAAAAACTGAGCCGAATTAAATTCTTCTATCTTCAGCCTGAGTGATGACTATTTGCCTTGCCTCGTCTTTATAATGAGTACATTTACATGCACTCTAGTATGGTAAAACTTCAATAGCCGAGTCCCAAATAGCTGCCTACCCTGTTTACAGGCCTGGTGTGGGAACACATTTTGACAAATAAACACCTGCCTCGATTAAACGCCTGGTCTGGTTTTTATAGAAGTTCTTTGGATGTATAAAACCTCTTTAACCCCACCGAGTCGCCCACTTTAGGTGCTTCTAAGCTGCTTAGATCGTTAATACAAATACTAATGTTTAGGATCAATATTTCAGTATGGACTTGCTACACATCGTTAGATTCTCCACTGTTCAATCATCAGTTCATTTAACGGAAACAACGAGCCCCAAAGTCTATTTATTATAGATTTACCAGTGTAACTGGGACAGTAGGAAAGAGATGAGGGAGAAAAAGTGCCGACTCCCGTTACCTTTGAAGCACTTGTTAAGTACGCTCATTAAGTCTGAATGTGTCCATTCCTTGATTATTTATATTCCTTTAGTCTGTAAGGGTCCACCCATCAAAAGAATCAAAACGGCATTTCATTAAATTAATCCAAGTTGTATTGTCATGTTAAGTCCATTGCTCTCATCCTGCACCCTGTTGTCGTTTTCGTTATGTTGCTGCCTTCAAAATAATAACACAAAAGCCGTCTGTCGGTGCTAGATCAATGATATTATGATGATGATATTATCTGATCATTTCACACAGGAAATGTTATCACAAGTAATAATCATACTGTCTGAAATAAAAACTGTTTCATAGTAGCCTATTTCAGTTTTGTGCGAAAGGAATTAAAGGCCTGTGCAAATATAAGCAGGGCCAATTAAGTGATTTTAGCAAATAACAGCCTGGGCTATTAATCAAAGTTTTATGGTATTCTAGTTTTGATCATATTTGGCAAATTAACCTGCTCATTCAGGTCCATTTATACAGCATGTGATTCTAATTATTCAGGTCTCTCATTGTGTGCATCAGTGCAGATTAGTCTTTAACTCCTCCACATCTGATGTAATTTCAGTATTGACTTACCTGTGATACCTCAACAGTCGAGGAGGAACTCAGTTTTCTGGCTACATGGACGCGACTGCAATAAGTGTTATCCTCTTGTTTTTATTATTAATTAATTGTTTTGCCTGTAAAATGGTGTTCACTTAATTTTCATTTAATAAAGAGGAGAGCAGCAAATCCTCACATAAAAAAGCTGGAACCTGCAAATTTGTTTGCCATTTTTGCTTGGAAAATAACGCAGATGATTAATCAATTATCAAAACAGTTGCCAGTTAATTTCCTTGGGTCCAACTAATCAACTCAACTAATTATGTCAGCTCTAATCTTCTGCATTACTAGAATCAGACTTTCAATTTCATTTCATTGTATAGATCAAAATTTCAGAATTTATCACCAGATTATTTTGTTTAATTGATTAACTACTACATAACTTGGGGAGTTGAATTCAGGGCGCAGTTGCAAACATGGCAGAGAATGTATTATAATCCAGGACCGGGTGTTTATATGCAACAGTATCCCAATTATAAACCATAGCATATCCAGGTTTCTCAAAACCAGGATTACATGTAAAAAATAATGGTGATTTTCCCAAAAACCTGATCATAACCCCGGATGCTAGCATTCATGTGAACACACTCAATGACAAGGTATTAAATGTATAATGGTTGTGTATAATGGATAGGACATGTTTTGTAGACAGCAAGCAGGATCTCATCATTTTAGGAGAAAATGCAAGACATGCAAATCACAAAATTTACATACTGCTTTAAAAGTACAGACAGTAGAAATATTTAATGATCACTGCTCCTAGTCATTCAGGAAGATTGATGTACAGATGCAGCTATAGATTCAAACTTTATTCATAGAGCAATTTCACCAAACACAGCTCACACAGTGATTTATAGTAAACACAAAACAGATAAAACCAGAGAAAGAACATGAGCTGCACACACACGAAGAAACAGGGCCAGAGCTTCTGTATGCTTGTACTGGCATGTGTGAGGATATTAGGAGAGTAGTACAAAATAATTTGTCTCCATGTGTCTATCCAGTCAACCTTTTAATACTGCTGAGGGGCATCGGAGTAACTGAAGTGTCTCTGCGACTGTGATTGGTAAAGTAACCTGGGTGCTATAAGAGCCCTCGTTGGCCCACTGTGTACGGTACGGCATGTTGGCAGTCAGGTTGATGTGAGCTCCAAGCCCTGAAGTGCCGTGGTTACCAGATGGCCGTGGCAACAATCTTCAGTCCTTTCACTCACCTGGCTGAGTAAAGACTTCCTCTAACCCAGTGCCCACAGGAAATGGTCTCTACAGCACGTCTGCCGTCTTTGCTTCTGCCAAGACTCTCGTTCCACTCGTGTCTCTGAAGTCTGTTTCAGAAAGGAGAAAAAAAAGAGGACACTGATTTGGGCCACAGAGGCTATGAGGGATTGCTCAAAACAAGATGGCAAGATAGAAAAATTTCATGTCCCTACTTAAACTGCTGCCAGGTTGTCATCCTTATATGTGACAGACTGTTGTAGACGGAGTCATGCTGCTTTTTTATGGTTGCTCTGTAAATAGTTCATTGTCGCTGTCCAAGTTTCAGTCACCATTTCTGTGAGAGTCTCCTCAGATATGCTACTGTCCTTTTGAACGGTTTTATCATTGTTATGCTATTCAGACAAGGCTTCTTCCTTTAAAGGATTATTCAAATTCATTCTTTTGATATTTTCCATGTTTTGTGGAGCAAGACTCTTAACAAGTTAGCCCCTGGGTGTAGAGCAAAACTTGTGGCACATTCTCAGCCAATGCATAAATGCATATTATTAATGCATTTGTGTGTTTTATTGATTTATGTTGATTTATGGTTCTTGGAAGTACAGTATGTAGGAGAGGTTTTATTTGTTTGTTTTTGCTTCAAGCTAGGGTAAAAAAAAAAAGTGACACTCCAGCATGACAGTGGCGCAGTGTGCAGAAATGTGTAGTCAGCTTTGGGAATGGTTTGCAGAAGAGAGCGACATTTAGTTTGTGCCTTTTCTTTTTGTGTGTTTTCTCTGCTTGTATCCCCTCATCTCCTTCCTGACAAAAGGTTACATGAAATCAAGCAACCAAGCAAAATCGGTAACACCCGAACAGAGATCCTCTCCCTTATTTGGTTTGTTTGGCTTCACAGAGCACATTATCCTCATCTAAAGGCATTTAGCATTGCTGAAAATACACTTGATCCTATGAATAGTGTATGCTAATAGCAAACCATAAGTTCAGGAATTGGCATCCTCTCTGGAAATTCTTGTTCAACACGGTTGCCACACTCCTCTAGTGGTACTAATGTAAACAATATTGTGGGATGTACTACATTTATTATTTTTTCCATCTTGGCTGTCTCTTTCTCTTTTTCACCATATTTCAGTTCCTCCTGTTATCCGAGTGTACCCAGAGAGCCAAGCCAGGGAGCCGGGAGTTACTGCCAGCCTTCGCTGCCACGCTGAGGGCATTCCCAGTCCCCAGCTGGCCTGGCTGAAGAACGGCATGGACATCACAACCAAGCTGTCCAAACAGCTCACCCTGCAAGGTACACAGAAGTCAAGAGTTTACTGCTCACTGCATGTAAACTTCTATAGTTTTATTCCCACTACTTCTACTTCCATTATTATTTTTACTACTGCTGTTACACCTTTACTGCTACAATTGCTCTTACAATTGCTGCTAAAAGCACTGAAATAAATTTCACAATTATTGCTACTTTAAGACCTTCACTACTATCACTCTTAGCAATACTGTTACTGCTAATAATAAATAAGTTTTTATATGTGTACAATGGGCAATACAAGTAAGTTTAAGTCATCTATAGATTCTTAATGTTGGTAATTAGACAAATTTGGTTTATTGTCCAGCTCCAGTATCAAATATTCTCAGGCAAAGTTTTAAAGTTCCAAGTTATAATTCTTTAAATAAACCATAAAGCCAACTGCTTTTCCACAAAAACGCTGAACCAGAAATCTGTCCCAGGGCTCAGACAAACACAGAATTTGGCAGACCTGTGCCACATTCTCACTTTGAAGTCCTACCGTTTTGAATTCTCTAAACCTCCCAACTTCTTTCTAACATATTAGAGAACTGTTATGTAACAGTAATGGTAGCGTGGAAGTCGCCTTTTATTTCTTTCTGGAAGGCAAACTGTCTTTTTCTGTCTGTTCCCTCTGTTGTTCCTCAAAGCTAATGGAAGCGAGGTGCACATCAGCAATGTGCACTTTGAGGACACCGGCGCTTATACCTGCATCGCCAAAAATGAGGCTGGGGTAGATGAGGACATCTCTTCACTATTTGTGGAGGACTCTGCACGCAAAACCTGTATGTATTAGTCATGATGTCGGTGTCTGTTTTTATTCAAGGGGTAATGGAGCCATGCAAATGGAGCTCTTAATAATTTATACTGTCAGTTCTTAATAGTTTATATCCTGTGATAGAATGATAGAGCCTTTGTGAGGGAAGTAATGGTGATACTATCTATAATCTCTTCGTCTCCTGGTTTGGAAGCAGGAACAATTGTTCATGTACCCCTCCATCCACTCAGGAAGACATAAATTCAGATTTTATCTCCTCTATGTCGGGCTACACTGGGGCTGCAACTACTAAAAAATGCTTCATTAGTGCCAAAATAATAGGTTGATTAATTGATTTGTTAGTCAACAGAAAATACATTTCATATAAAAAATGCCAAACATTCACTGTTTGTTGCCTCTCAAATGTGAAGATTGTAAATTGAATATCTTTTGGTTTTGGCCTGTTAATAAGACAAAAGAGGCATCTGAAGATGTCACCCTGGGCTCTGGCAAATTGTACATTTTTCGGACATCTCTTCCTTACACAATTTATTGATTTATCATAAAAATAATGGACAGATTAATTGATTGTGAAAATGAAAAGTAGCAGCCGTAATGTTCATTATCAATTAATCGCTCTTAATTTTCAATTAAATAATCATTTAGTCTATAACATCGTCATAAAGAAGTAAAAAATTCCCTGAGCCTAAGGTTAATCTTCAGAATGCATATTTCTCTTACAAACAGTTCAAAAAGATATTCCATTTTCAATTATATAAATCCGAGAAAAATATCAAATCTTTTAGGGTGAAAACACTCGTAAAATATTATTGATTATCAAAATTGTCAGTTACTTTTGTGTCAGTTGATTAATTGACAAATCGTTAAATACTACCGTCTCCAAACTTTCCTCTCAATCATCCACATCAGTGATTTTTGGCACGCATACTAATTGATTAAGGCGTTATTTGGCAATAGTCGCCCATTGTCAATATGTAACTGTGTAACATTAGGGTTGTGACACGAGTAACCATATTCAAATGTGGAAGCTTTTTTTGACACAAACAATCTCCTCTTCAACCCTCTCTTGAATAGAGTCTCACATGGTAATTAACTTTGACCTTCTCTGAAATGTCAGAATATGTCTTTGGGGTTCAATACCAGTTGTTAGTTTTCGGTACGTTCCTGTGGGTAATTAGGGTTCCCAAACAGCACACTTAGGAACTTTGCAGTCGAGTCACACATCTCACATGTACACAGTCCCACACCCCTGCCAGACCTGACGTGCTTAGATATCGTCCCCGTGGTACAACTTCCTCCACCCAGCCTGTCACACATCAGAGGATCATGCTCGGCGAGGTCAGAAGTCACTCGTGTGCTTTGAAGCTTTTGAAGCTCTACCCTGGGCCAAAATGGTACTAGGAGTTGGATATTGCAGACCCTTCTTAGAGTGAGCAACCCCACAGGACAGGAGTTCAAAGGAATGTCAGCAGAGAACCTGACGTGGCTGCACTACCACATTATGAAGGGTAGAGAGAAAAAAAAACAGACTTTACTACACTGTTGTAGTCTGGCGACTATATCTCACTGACTGCATACTTGACCCACTCTAGTTTTCCTATGAGAATGCCACCTTTATTCAGAAACTAGCTAAGTGAGCAATGGAAGCTGACTGTCTATTAGTGAGGTATGTTGAGCCTAAAGCAGTTTTCAGTGTCAAGAAGGTGGCTCTCTTTGAACCTGGCTAGATCACCATGGTAACTTATACTGCACACCAAACCTGCTCTGGAGGAGGTTTTGGTCAGAGTTTCGGACGCTGTAAATACCCGCCCTTTCATTAATTCTTTTCTTGACAATATTCTCTGAGAATCATAGATTCTTAGCTGAAGGAATATGTTAAATGTGCAAACCTGTTAAGCCGTACATTAGTAATGCCACCAAATCTAGGGGTGTAATTACAATTGATAGTTTTCACGTGATGTCATGCTCCAAGGCAAACACACCCTTGGAGGGCAAAAAATTACCTTATTTTCTATATAGAGTTTTTTGTTTTTCACATCCCAAACAGACAGCATAATTAACACATCAAGGTCAAAAGTACATATAACTGTCACTACTTTTATATGCTTTCATATACTCGGCAGCGTTGTAGGGTGAGGGATTCTCCACAAGGTAAACGTAAACATCACCAAAGTCGAGCTGTGGCAGGGACCTGCCGGTTTTTAACGGCAGAAATATGATAGCGGGTGCTGTATGTGGATCGTAAGTGGCCAACACTTGCAGTTTGTGTCCATATTTTTCTTTTTCCGGAGTTGAGAGGTGATCCCAAGTCCAGGAGTCCAGTGTGAGCTGCTATCTTGGTGAGCTGTTCTGCCCTCCAGGTCACCGCGCATGTCACGTGACCCGAAACACGTGTTGGTTTTTTTCCCACGTGAACCGATTTTTTTCCTGTTTGCTTCAGGTAATATTAACACTTTAAATTTTACACAGCATATCATCCAAACACTAAAAGAATGATGACAGCACAGCAACTACAAACTACTTTGGATGATGCTTTTATACTTGGACCTGATTGCTCCCAAGTCTGTTTTACAATGCTGGTAATGCAGCTAATATAACACCAATTTGAAAATTTGTCTATTGGTAATTATCACAGATAATATTAAATCAATAAATTTAACCAAAAACTTAAGTGATTTCCATGTCTCCTTCATAATGGGACAGTGTCAGACATAAATAAACTTGTTGACAATACTGCTTAAATATCCAGTTTAATGTTTAAGAGCTCTACAATGTGTGTAATCTCCACCACACTGTAGTAGGCAGCACGCGATTCGTCCATTTTGTGTGGAATGGAGTCAAGACGAGTGATGCCTGTTGAAGAAAACAAGGGTTAACAAAGATTGATAACCACCGTTGTGATACCCATTATCTCTGATTGTTGTTTTAGGTTTTGTCAAGCCAGCTAGTGCAATGAAAGCCTGGCTATGTCAGACTTGCTTGTAGTACACCCCTCTGGATTGGCTGTCTCTGTAATCCTGAGGCTAATGTAGGATTGAGCTCTCAACTGCAGCAGCAGTTTGGAATAATTTTTTGTCTGGCCTTACTTGTGTGTGCTGGTTGTCTGATTATTAATGGTTCTTGTTCCTAGGTCTCCCATGAAATGGAGATCATAATCTCAGTGGGACTACCTGGTTAACAATGGCAGTGAAGAAACAAACATGTTAACTTAATACAGCTGTGTGCCATTGTTAATTATTATTTAACAACAATGGGGGTCTATGGCACAGATGTATAGTTTATCTGGCTTTATATAAATAGATGATATTTGTTAGTAGGATTGTTGGTTTTGATCTTTTCATGTGATTCATTAAAAATAAAAAAAGTATAGAATATCCCGATGAGTAGAAATGCAAACAAGTGAAGTCTGGATAAACGTACCTACTATATGTGAACTGTGTAAAAATTGTCTTTGGTCTCACCCTGGAAAATGTAAACACAAACACATCAACAAGATGAAAACATCACATTAGCACAACAAGAGACTAATTTCAGGTCTCTCTTACAGCTGAATATGTTGTTAATTGGCACTGAATCTGTGTAGCAGTGTTTGTAACTGTGATTTAAGTTAATTCATAGTTGTTTCAAGGAAGTTTCACTTTGCCTGCCTCCAGTAATTATGTCAAGAATAGAACATGATGATAAATTAACAGTAACAAAGAATGAACTCGGTTAAGTGAAAACCAGACATGTTTCATGTATTCACACCACTCTACCTGCTCTGTCTTCTTCACATAGAAATAATTAGGTATCTGGGATAACAGAGAGGGACAGAAAGAGGAATGTTAGAGATTGTTCATCTTTACAAGTGTAATTAGTTTAATAGTCACAAAAGGTCAAGTCAGACCTATTTGACTAAGTGCTACAGTAGTCTAGATTGCTTTTAACATGGGTCCATCCCAAAGTACTTTACAGCTAACAACTGTGTGTGTGTGTGGGGGGGGGGGGGGGGAGCTGGTGACAAAGAAAGTAGATTGTAAACTATTTTATAAATTGTGTCCAGTCAGAGTTTTTAGTGTTCTGCTTGAAGAAAAAATGCTCTCAAATGTTTGAAATAGCTATACATTTATTAATCAATAATTGAGGGAAATATTTGATCCAATGAACTTCAGATGTGTGAAGGTAGGGGGAAAAAAACAACTAGATGAATTTTTTTCTCATACTGTATATAGGATCCCATAAATCTGAGTGGTAAGGAAAGAAACTGACTGATATGAGTGCAGCCTTGTTTATGGCTTTGCAACTGCTCATATAAGGAGGTGAAACAAACAAAACTCATTAAATCTGTGAGAACGCTGCAGGTTTGAGTTTTGACCCTCTCGTCATTTGCATTATCTTGGCATTTGATTAGCCACCAGAGATGGACAGATAGTTTATTTCTCTCCAATAGGGGAGCAGTTGCGTGATATTTTCCAGGAAAGCTGCCAGCTGCCGTCAATACGTCAGTATTTAAGGCCAGAACAGAACAATGAGGAGAGTCTGAGCTGCTCATGTGTATTGTGATGTTCAGGGTTAACACAGTAGACCTAATCAGGCACCAGTGTCATTGTATTCTGCAGCTGTTTTCACCTGAGTGATTCCTGTTAGTGGATATTAATATGTTTAAGCTGTTATTACAAAAATATTAATAATAGAAAAACACACAATTGAATTGCCACTCGGTACATTACGGTTAGTGCAAATAGATGATCTTGCAATAAATGTTTAGAGCATGCAGGGCTGTTCATTTAGCTGAAGATGTTGGGTGTGTAACTTTAATGGCAGAATCCCCATCTGCACTTTGCACACACACTGCTGCTCCATCCTCGCATGAGATGCTGGCATACTCATTCATAGAATATCTGAGGCACTGCCACCAGTGACTCGCACACTCACATATTTTTCCCAGACTTAATGTAGTTGTGTTTTTTCACAAATTCAAAAATGTAATTCTATTTGATGACGTTTACAAAAATTAACTATTCCGTT